CCTTTTTAGAGTCTTTATGTGATTTTTTAGGTTCTTGACATGGTCTTTGACCTAGCTGCCTCAATGTGCTGCTGCTACTCCCTTGTCTCTGTTCTCCCTATTCTGTACAAAATTTATAGCTGGATTGTACAGCCTCTGTCTTATGTTATAATTTAAAACTTTGATGCGATCTTTAACAGAAATACCTCAGTTGCAGGAGTGCAACATCACAAGCATGGATGATTACTGCAATCTTCACTTCCGCCACCTTGGACAGGCAGGTCCCCAAAGGGTTACTGTTAAAGCAGGTACAAAAGGGGGGCAAGCTGTCTACTGTCTATGCCTGTGTCAGCTCTAACATTAGGGCACAGATGAAACAATTCTAGTATCTCCTAGAGGGCTGCACAGCAGGATACATTGCACCGGCAGCTGCAGTATGTGTTGAAAGGCTGGAGCAGATGCTCTCTATTCACTGTGCTCACCACTGCAAATTTAGCACCAGCAACTTTCACAGACTTTGAGCCCTAGATATTGGGACAATATATTGACACTCAGTAGGGAATCATACTAGAATAAAGGAATAGTCTTTCTTTCCTTCCTGTCTTGCTCACAAAACACTAGAAACAACATGAATCTTACTGTTCAGGATATTCTGCTAGTTCATGAACTGAAACCTATTTTCATGCTTGTAGAAAGCTGTGAAGAGTATTATTTATAAAATGTCTACCATAAAATGTAAGTAGTGCTATCTGAAACTGCTGATTTCACCATGGCCTAAAGTGACTTTTTTTTTTTAACTACTCCTAATAAACAAAGATTCCTATCTGCATTTACTTACTTTGAATTTTATGGAAACAGCAGTTTTCTCACTACAATAAACCCAGATCAAAAAGTGTTTTCTTTTGAATTCAGATCAGCCAAATGGGCATCTCTTTCTGAATTCATTTGTGCAGCTGATCTCTGATCTGCAGCGTAGCTAGGAGTTTCATATGGTAAAACGGGGTGTAACTCATTTGCACTGAATAATGTATGCATATATAATACGTGTAAAACAGCCAGAAGCCAGAGAAATATCCTCCAGCCATCTACCTGTGTTTAATAAAATTTACTGTCCTTTCATGGAACTCCACTCCTACAAGTATCCTTTAAAATTGAGATTAGATGTGTTTTACCTAAATTATTGTACTATCAGAGAGTACCATACTACCATCTTTCAGTGTGTTTCTTTTACAAAGCAGGACAGGAAGATTAGTTCAAAAGGATATAGCTAACTATTTTACATTACTTATGAATTCCATGCACCATTTAAGAATCCATTAATTTTGGTCTACTTGTTAAGATATTGAATACCTCTAATTCTTAGGATTTCCCATAGATGTCAGTGCAGAAGACAAGTGCACCTATTTTCCATTGTTACTGTTACATACAAGCTCTTTTTCTCTTATAATCTGAAAATGGTTTCTATAATGAGAAAAATATTAGAATGTATTTTTCTGGAATTTGACTGATATATATATATTTTTTTTCAATCAGTCAAAATCTTATTGGAACCCTATGCAGAGGGAATGCAGATCATTAGGCAACTCACTATTATTCAAGTTATGCAAATCTTCATCACGCCCTGTTGTGGCAAAAAATATTGGGCACATTAGTCATGGCTGCTGAGCACTTATATCTCCAAGTTAAGACAGTAGAAGGTAAAGGTGTTCAACCCCTCTGAAAGTAAGGGTTATTACATTAAAATAGATCTATCATACTAGATTGAAACGTTACAAGTATACTAAGAGTTCTCTGACATCTACTTTAAAATATGAGCCTCTGGGGACTGGTCTCACACCATAATCTGAGCTGCAATATGAAAAGTTGTACTTTCAGAGCAAGCCCTATTAAGGCTGTTTCCTATTGTTCACATATCTTTTTCTTTCTTTCTTTTACTTTTTTTTTTGTTTGTTTGTTTTGGTAGACATTTGTTCTTCCTCTACAAGTTGAAGCTGTCACTCTTCTCTGTTTTACCTTGTTATCTGGTATTTAAATATATACTCTCCTAGCTCCCATCTGCTCCCTGATCCTGGTTGCTGTAGGATCAGTGCCAAGCATGGAGTATGCATTATGATCAGGTATGCACTTGCAGCTCAACCTCACAACCAACAAGCTTGGAATCCTTTGCAGTCCCATGGGTTTGTAGCCCTGGAATGGGTCCTTGTATCAAAATTGTGTTAGCAGACTGCAGCAGAGGGCTACAGTTTAGATGGCCAAGAAAGCATATGTACCTATGTGGGCGTAATATATATTGGACTTTCTATTTACTTATCATTACTAAGATATCACCATTATCATCATTTGTGCCATTTAAAAGCTTCCCTGGAAATAATATTCTGAACAGTATAATGATTAGAGATATTCTCTTTATTTTGTTAATCCAGATTTAGAAAGACTACCAAAGCGTTCTCAGATGTTGATGACACAATTGGATGTTCTGTGTTAGCAGCTGATTTTTGTCAGCTTACACTTTGTAAACATTTGGCAAGGCACATGAGGTTTTCAGTCCATCTCTCTCAAAATGACTTTACTGAAGGGGATACATATTGTCATGCAAGGGGAAAACAATCTGCAAATCCTGTGGAGCTGGTGACCCAGCGGGTCGCAGCTTGGCTCCCGGTTTACTCTGGGGGCAGTGAAATAACATTGTTCTTTGTTTGAGATGTCTACCAACGCCACAGTCAGGTACCTGGCTGTGCCCTTTCATGTAGTTCCCACCACGTGCATTAGGCTTCTTTCTCAGTGCTCTATCAGGGTAGCATTTCTGTAGTAATCCCTGCAGACACAATTATTCTATCAGTTTTGTGTGCTCAAAATAGGAAGCAAATCCAATTCCATTCCTCATCTCTGCCGCCAGCAAGACACAGTTCTTCCAACACTCTTCTTTCTCTCAGGTTAAGTGTTGTAGCTGTATTTGTTTTACCCATGATGTAAAAAGCAGCCTTGGAACTTTTCTGTTAACCTAAGCTGTTGGGTTACCCCTATGATGATGCAGGACAGATGCATGAAATCTTGTAACATCCATTCAGGTAGCATGTTAGATAATGAGAGAGGGCATGCAGTTAACAGATTTTTATTTATTTATTTTTAATAAAAATACTTTTCAGCTTGCATTCAGTAATGGCTCAACTGCTCATGACTTCGGGTTATGAGGAGTGGCCAAGTAACGCAAGGTAAATTATTCATTTGCTTAAAGCAAGTCTATAGGCCAGTGATCTGCTTAAGGCTGCCTTAGACCTGCATCTTAGTGCTGTCAGGATTTCTCAGACTGAGAAGGATTTTTTGAAACTTATTTGATGTGGAGTTTTATTACATTTGAACTGAAAATGAGCTGTTCTGGAGGAAATCCTTGGAGAAGCTCCACCAGTATAGGACACAACAAACAGCAGCAGCTGCAGCATCAGCATGCTCCTCACACTTTCAACTAGCAGCTCAATGAAAGATTTTGGCAAGGCAGAAGACCCAGTGGATGCCAGGTTGGCACTGGTACCTGTTGTGTTTTCTTGGTCTTACAGGATTGAAAAAAATGATAAAAAAGGTAGCCTGTGTTTATGATACTGCAGCTTGAGATGAGGGGGAAAAGGGGAAAATAAATTATTCTTTTTAGAGTCCCTTCTCTGTCATGGCCTTTTGCCTTTGTTCTTCTGCGTTCATCATATTAATTAGGAAAAATATTCAAAGTACTGATGTCAAAGACAGTTTCTGGAGTTGGATGATATCTTTTAAGGATAATAATTTAATGAATATTAACACTACAATTTCTTCTATATATTGGTCCATGTTTTCAAATTTAAATGTTTAAAGGCATGCTGATCCCATGCAGTATCTCAGCACAGAACAGGTTTGCCCTCTTTCCAGAACCAGAAGAAAACAGCTGTGCCACTGCGGTGTAATGCAAAAGCTAAGTGGGGGGCCTGCTGGGGACAAAGACTATCAATTCAAGAGAACTGGCAATATGACTGGTGGAACTAAGTAGCTTCATGTGGCTATGCGTTATATAAATATATCAGCTGAGGTTGGTGCTAGCTGGCAAGTTGCTGCACTGTGTTCTATTGCAAGACAGAGAGATCCTGAAACTACATGTTTGGCATACTGTTACACTTATTTGTCACAAGCAGCTAACCATAAACCTTTAGGTCTTGAAGGATGTTCTAGTTAAACGTATGCATTTCTTTATATTATATATCTCTGATGTTACTATGTTTATCTTCATACATAGCCTCTCTAAAACAGAACAGACTATGTCTCTCTTGCATGATCTAGAAGGAAACAGAGGCCATTACCTTACTTACTGTACAATAACTTTTTGAGCAAATACACCCTTACTGGAACTTGTTTTTATTTTTTTTCCGAAAAAGTCTTTGATTTGTTGCATGGGAGAATTAAATTTTGCTACTTTAAATAACACCAATTATAATAACACCTTGGATTTTCAAAGGATAATATTTCATTTTCCTAAATGACTGATTTTAGTTTATCTTCATTTCCTATTTTCAGAGATCATAGGGATTTTTTTTATTATGATTCTTAATTACTATTCTTAACAATATGAAAACTTTTTAATAATTAAAAAATCTTAGTAGGCCTGATTTATATATGTACAATTATTTGAATTATACTGACATCACATATCCTTTCATAATCTAGCAATTGGTTTTCCCTTATACTATGACTTTGTTTAACATTTTCTAATTACTGGAATGAGGAGAGAATGGAACCTTCTTAATGTATGTTTTGTGCCATCTCTTAGAAAGATTTCCAGAGCTATGTATATGGGCTTTCTTTGGTAATTTCAGCAGAAACTAAATTTGTGATGAAATGTGTCCTCAGTATCTGTCTTCCGTGAGGTGTGTTGAGGCTCTGCAGATACCACTAGTTTCTAATTAACTTGCAGGCTAAGTTCAGGTTGCTGACCTTTACCTGTAAAACCCCAAATGCCTTGGGACTAGGTCACCTGATACAATTTGTGACACTTCTTGCAGGTGCCATCAACAACTCACCTGTGACAATGGACCTCATCTTTAAGAGAATGGACCTGATGGAGAGGATGTGTTGTGCTTGTTTCTTCAGTCTTCACCCTGTAGACTTTCTGAGGGTGAGTTGGTTGAATTAAATGGTCTAATGGAATATATGAGTGCACAAATTATGAATACCATACTTATTTTGTTTGTACTTAAACAGCAAGATATACTTTGTCAAAGCAAGTCAGATCCTCCTTGTTCTCTATGTAATGATTCCTGTTGTGTTCAAACAGAACGCCAAGGCAAGGCATAATTTGATTATGAGTGTTTTCTCTGTGACAGAAATGAAAGGTACGGAGAGAGCATTTAAGTGAAATATGTTATTGAAAAGGAATAATGGTGTGCTGAGTTTCATACACTAAAGAGCTGAACTTGGTTCTCTTTCCTGGCAGAGAAGCCCTATGGAAAACTGGGTAAATCACTTAAATTCGTAACTCCAATTAATTTCAAGAGGAATAAAATATCTAAATACTGATGAAGAGGCAGGCTTCAGCCACTCTCTAAATTGGTTAGTTAAAGTGGATAATAGCTTTTTTAAACTTTGAGTATTATAAAGAGGCATTCTGTGCATGGGAAGTAGTCACATGTTGCAGTGATGGACACCATATACCTCCAAGGTTTGCTTGTATGTATCTCTAGAGCATTACTGAAAATGTCTGTGATAACAGAAGTATACGTGTGTTTTTTTTTTTCATGTCAGTAGACCTGATGAAAATACAGTGAGATCCAAATTATTCTCTCAGTAGGGAGAATTACTTAATCACAGAGAGAATCATCTAAACAATTTAATCACAGTGTGGATATAAACTGTTTTTTGTGGACTCAATCCATATGCCAATCTTCTAAGTTCTGTTCTTGGAAGTTCAGCACATTTAATAGGGGTTTATGTTGTTAATCTGAATGATTTTTACTTCTGGACTTATGAATGATGAGGAAAAAAAAAAAGGACTTATTTTTTGTGGAGATTACACAGATGACATGGGAAAGTATAAAAGAGGAAACACTGGCAAAACAGAAGATCAGAAAAGGAATTTGTTTTTCTACTGTATAGGTGAAACTAGAAAATCAAAAGCAAAGGATCTAAATGAAACTCAGTTTCTGATTTCCTCTAAAATCAAGTATGCAGCAATAGATAACACATTTAGATTTAATAGAAGCTCATAATGAAAGGTAAGTTAGTAAGAATTTTAGAAAAGCTGAGAGTAAATAATTTTATTCACACTTGTCAGCTAGACTGAAAAACTTATTTAGAACAAACGTGAAAAGATAGTAGTTGCCTTTGCAAAAGATACGAATCTTCTTAAACTATCTAAATAGGTGATTATATTTTATATTATGAACAGCTATGCTCAGAAGTATGTTTCTGGAGAAAAAGAAATACTAGGTGTCAGCATGATTCCTGCTTCAATCGCAGCTGTAGCAGATTTGAGCAATAGCTTATTTTATAGATTTGCACTTGCATTTCTTTAAGGAGATCAAAGCAAGTTTGATACAGTACACCAGTTGTAGAAAAGACTTTTAAAATTCTCTAAGTAGAGTTTGACAGTCTTGTTTTGAAAAAAGTATTTTGATAATTAGGTTCTGTATTTTGCAAAGACATGGATGCTTGTTTGTCTTTATGTGCCTCACTGAAGTCAGTGATTTTATGCATGGGGAGTTAAACTACTTATATCTTTATGCAGTCGAAGATTTTGACATTATTTATTGTTTAGCTGTTCCATGATGCAGTTGTCTTCTGAAAGCAAAGTGGATGAAATGCAGAAATGTTTTTTAAAAGGGGGAGGAAAAATGTGCTAAATGAATTAGTACTTATTGGCAGTTGAGAATTTTGCAACAAGATTTAAAACAACACCGAGAGATAGTAATTATTTACTGTGCTTCAGCTCCTTGAATGCAAATTAAGCATAAGCTAAGTAGATCATTACCTCTGTTTTTATGTCTGCATAGATAAACTATGAGGAAAAAATATCACTGATATGAGAAAGTGTACCTATACAATTATCTGCTCTCTTGCTGTTTACCATGCAAAAGTCCAAATGTTTTATTTCACCCTGACCATGTTAGCATGAACAGGGAGGTCAAAACCATTAGCAGATTGATCCTTCTCACACTCACATTTTATGGCCCTATCCACTGCTGGTTTCACTTCAACGAGTTTTCTATTTCTCTTTCAACTAGCTAATTTAAATAAACAAAGTTTGGGGTTTTCGATTCGGTTTATCTGCCACTTTCTCTGTACTTGCCTTTTTTTCTGAGCTCTCTCCTCTTCATCTCCTTAGTCATTACCTCCTGCATGCTATCTTAATGTTTTCAATTCTTTTTATTTTTTTTTTTATGAGACTTTCTATTGGATAGAAGTGTCTCGTCTTAGGTAATCTTTATTGATTTTTTGGAAATGTTTCCAGATTCCTCCTTTTTTTCTTGTGGAAAGCTACAGGTTTTCTTAAGCATTGGAATTCAGCAAATACAGCCAATTGCCATCTAAGACTTATTAGCAGCTTTAATTCTTGAGAATCTACATTTATACATTTACATTGACGTTTACATGCCTATGTCTTAGTCATTTTTCTCACAATTCATCTACAATAAAATAAGAAATTCTTTAACATAAAATTAACGTTTATCCTAACAAATGTGACTGAATTGCTCATCACTCTTCTAACAATGTTTGATCAAACTGCCAGTCATTCAGCTTATTAGTGTCAGTATTTGTTTCTGATTTTATTCTTCAAGCAGAATTATTTTCAGTTCACTCACTAGTATCCTCCATTTCTGCACCCTTCGGTACTCCTTATACACAGGGCTCTTTTCTGGCTCACCTAATCTTTCATGACTGGATTCCTGCATCAGAGCTCCCCAGAAAACCTGAGGTCTCTGGTGGTATCTGAACAGCTGTGCAGAGCTGAACTCTGCTTCTCCATTGTATTTCCTATGGCATTATTTCTCCTTGTGTGTTTACACTGTGCTCTCAGGAACTGGGAGTGAAGTGATTGTGCAAGCAGGTATGGCAATTTCAGGGTGCTTGTGTGTTTGTGCAGAAACCCTTCCCAGGAGACTGGTTACTCGTTTTGGCTTCTGAGAAATGTAAGGGGGAGTTGTATATTGTACACACAGAGAATCCAGCAACTTTGAGAGGGTTGTGTAACATCTGCTTTGAAGTAGAATGCTTCTAACAGAGTAAGCATTAATGAAAGGTAATTGGATGACAAAATAACATATTATAGAAAAATCCAGATGTAAATTATATGGGAAGGGCAGTTTAGTGGAAAATCTAGCACTAGGGCTGGAAGAGTCTATAGAATCAATGAAATAAAATTTCTAGATTAATAGAACCCCATTGCAAAGGTTAAACAAAATATAAATATGGAAGTAATAGCAAATGGGTGTAGAAGAGAGAGGACAGGATACATAATGAAATAATACTGAAGTATAACATAATGACATAACGTGAATTTGTTCTTTCAGTTATGGTCACCCCATCTCATAAAGATTGCAAAAGAAAAGTAGTTCACAGCAATTATAATAGACATAACCAACTGATATTGTAAATCTTATTAACTGATCAGGTGAGAGTGGGGCAGACAAGTTTAAAAACAAACAAACAAACAAACAAAAACGTTTGGATGTTGTATTTAGTGTAGTGTCACAAATACATGTTGGCACAAGGCCCTGTTTGGGTGTACAGTACAAAAAGCTTTGTATATCATGAAGATCTTAAATCAAATGAAAATCATGTATGTGTGGTTGTGTTTCTCTGCAAAATAACAGGTGTTTAATGCATGTATTAGGGCACCTGTTTTATTTGGCTGTTATTTGTCCAGAGATGCTTATTCATGCTAAATTTAGCAAGATTGTGGCAGAGCATGAGTTCACTCGGGAATGTGAATCTTTGAAATATGCTCTCACTGGAGCTTGGTGAATAATTTAACTCGCTAAATCTCTTTTCCAGCTTGCCATTTAACTGTGAATAGATTTCAGTTTTGATTTATTTTGTTCTTTATTCAAGTTATTCAACAAAAAGTTTATGCAAATGCATTGCAGCCTCAGGATAGCTCGTATATTACTCACAGACTATAGCTTCTGCTGCTGGTGATGGGACTGATTTGATACCCGTTTAAATAATTGGAAAGGCTCCTATATACTTCAGTTACAAAATTCTACAGATATTTTTCTATTGACTTCAGTGAGTGTGGGATGAAGCTGTGTTCTCAGCTGGCTACTCGTGCTGTGTGACTGGGCTGATAGCTCATATAATAGGGTTTCTGCTACTTGACTAGATGACTTGAAAATCCAGAGTTTTCAAAGATTTTCATGAGAATGTTCCTCAAAAGATGTATATGTCTTCATGATGTTTCAATGAATTTTTGCAGAAAGGTAAAATATGTGTAGACTTGCCAAAATGTCAGCAGAAAGCAATTCAACAATTGTATGGTACATTTGTAAACTCATTAAATAACCAATATATTTTTAGTATTTACCAACCTAAAACCAGCTTAATACATAAACTCCCAAAGGTATACTACATATATAATGGAAAAGTCTAATCTGGAAAGAATTTTTACTGACTTACAATATCACTGTTTTTGAAAGACTTCATAACATTGCTTTTAATACTTAAGAATGTATCTGTTTTATTTTCAGCTAGTAGTTCAGCAAGTTTGGGTTTCATTTCTTATAGTCAGAAGTCCTGTTGGGAAACGCGTCTGAATGAGAACTGCAGGATAGCAGCCTTGCACTATATGATTCACAAAAATAAAATATTCATACATTTCTAAATTATTTTCTTTAATCCCTGATTTTTCTTTAGAAGCGAAAAAAAATAACAGTTAATTTTTGTCTGAAGTAAAATCTCTTGAGATGCTTGTTTCAGCGATCATAAGTTAGAAGAGTGTATCTATTAGGATTCTGTACTATCAAATCTAAAATATACCTGGGGATATTTCTGAATATGATTTTATGATTATTAAGCCTTCTTTAGTTGTTTAGGAATTTAGAAAATACTTGTTTTATTTTTTTTTTATTTACAATGATTAACCATAGAATAGCCTCTAATCATATTATTTACACATCATCT